TGTCAGGCCATACGATAAGACATTGCTTTAAATATAATGATCAACAGGAGCAAAACTATGACTCGCTTCAATTAAGAGAGAATTCAAACAGAAGTTACCATAACTATAGCAAGAGTAGGTCAAGAGTAGATAACAATTTCAATGACATAAATCCCCAACAAGAATTCATGCATTTGTCAAACTTCGATGAAAGTTCTCAATCGCTTGACAGGTCGAACAGTAAAAAACCCTTCAACGAAAAAAACTATTATATTTCACCTTACCAGATCCACAACTTTAGTGATGATGACATTCCAGGAGACTATACAGATAATGAGTGTGAATTTGTTAATTTAAACTAGATCAGTCTCCGTCTGAACCAAAAATACAATTATATATCAACTTATACCAACATCCCGTCGGAGACAAAAATAAAAATAACGGTCTGGAAACACAATTTCTACTAGACACTGGAGCAACATGTTCGCTTATTAATTTTGACAGTTATGAACAATATTGTAAAATACAGCCTCTACAGCTAAATAAATCTAGATCAAACACAGTTGCTGTAAATGGAGAAAAACTTAAACTTATAGGTTATACTAATTTTGAATCAAGTTTTGGTACAAACACTGATAATCCGGTAAAAATCAAAGCATGGATTTCAGCCGAGAACGGATGCGATCTAAATATATTAGGAATGGATTTCATGTCTCACAACTTTAAATCATTAAATTTTCCAAATTTAAACTTAGAATTAAGAAAATACCCAGATATAACAGTTCCTATCAGTGTCATAAGAAGCAAAAGTTATCCATATCTAAGCTTTTATCAAAATGTATTTCTTGATAAAAATATAACTATTGCACCAAAATCATCCTGCGTTATTTCAATTTCTCCAGCAGGCGTAGTTTTCAAAGTAGGAACAGCGCTTAGAATTGATAAGTCCTTAGAACAAAAAGGCATCAATGCAAAAAGCACTTATTGTAGGAATGAAATTAAGTCAATGCCTATCGTACTAAAAAATTCCAGAGAATCAAAAGTAGATATAAGCAAAGGTGTAATAGGCCAAACGTTTGAAAACATAGAAATAAAATAAACCCGTTTCTTCCTGCTTTAAAATATTTATAAATGTGAAGTTTTCATTAAAGATTTTATAACGCTTTAAGTTTGTGAAATTTACCTAACGTTTTGTATGCTGAGCAGTAAATCTAATTCAACCTTACTAAAAAATAAAAAATTAGTATTATCCTACAAATATACTACAATGAGTAGCGGTTCTTTATGACACCCAAAAGGATATGCCAAAATGCATGAACACGATTTAATTCTTAACCGAGATCGAAAACAGTCAAGTACGCTAACAATTTTGGACCATCCTCAAAATCAAATAAAGATAAAGGAATCGGAACCCAATGGCTTAGACAAAAAAGATTTTCGACTTCAACATATTTGCAAAAAAAAGTTGCAAAAGGCCAGGAGTTTCAAATATTACAGTTTTACGAGTCTATAATAATTTCATTTTCAGGCGGTTTTATTAACTGAAAATTCAGTATTACACTTAAGGGAATGTCAAATTACCCTACGTATAATAACGAGAATTAATAGCGTAAAACCTTTGATGAAAGAACTAGCCAATGTAAAATTGTAACAAACTCTTTCTGCGAAGTTAATTTGCACCATCGGATTCCTCTTAGGGCCCAAGTAGGGACCGATGACATTAATTTTTATCTTTGTAGTTTTCAAGTTACAAAATGCAAACTAGAAGAAATTCATCAAAAAGGGAAATCTCGCCTTCTTTCTTCTCAACACATTGAGTAAAATTTTCACCAATATTCTTTATCATAAAATGGGCGAACAATGTTTTTCGACCCGACCCGCCGCAGATTTATGCCAGCATTTGTTGGTGGCTTCATGTAGCCTTTTTAAAATTATGGTACCATATTCTTTCAACAACTCAAATGCTTGTTGGTGGCTGTATGCAGCCTTTAAGACTCTTATGATTCGCTCCTCACAATTTGGCCAAAATATCAATTCGGTAGTTCAAAATCCACAACATGCAGGCAATTAAACCTTAAAAAAGTAAATTTCCGAAGCAACACTTTGATAAGTGAACGGCATCATTATGATGATTATTTACATAAAATTTTACATCGCTAAAATCAGATGAACATTTCTTTACTAAAACTGTGAACATGGATTGGTGCAGGGGATTAAAACCAAAGAGAAACTAATACACTTATCTTTTGAATATTATACAGTTTGCAATTTGTCTGTTCAATTTTCCTTTTCTTCGATATTTCATTTTGATTTGATTCTAATTCAAATATTTTCTTTTTCTTACCAAAAAATGAAACAAAAATTACTGGTTATGACAACCAGGTGGACATACATTTAAAATTAGGGGTTAATTAATGCCCACATTTCCATTTTTTGCTTTAACTACATAAGTTTAATATCTGAGCTTAACTCAGTGTTGTAAAGTGCTTTATTCCTGTGGTTAATAAACACCATGATCGTCTTTCTTCATTTGTATTCCTGTGGTTAATAAACACCATGATCGTCTTTCTTCATTTGTTTTCCGTGGTGGGTTTGTGTGAAACCACAAGATTATATTTTCCACCTTTTATATATATATACAATTTTACACTTTGTCCTTCATTGTTCAAACATTTGATAATTAGCCTTAATATCCGAATGTAATTCGGGATTTTGAATATTTGGTCATTTTATATTGATGTTTAGCAAAATGGAATACGACCCAATTTTAAACTGGAACTGCAGAAACGCAGACCCAGCACCAGAGGAGTTTAAAAGAAAGCTGCCTCGCAGGAAGAAACAACGAAAACCTGTAGCAGTACAATCTTTGTCAATGGACGACGGGTTAAATAAGAACCCTCGCAATTTTCCTAGTTTAACCCAATGATTGGAACTGCAGAAGTGCAGAGAAACCAAATTGGATACGGAAATCCAAAATATATAACGAGTTTAAAGTACTCAATAAAGGAAAATTATAACAGATGGAAACTGCCATCGTTCATAGAAGTCGTCAACTCAACGACAATGGAAAAGGCGATGATGCCTATTGACTTCATAACCCAGCCAGAAGTGATTATAAAGAACGAAAACAACTTCTGGAAATTAAAGAAGAGGGAGGAACACGGCTACATCCTCAAGGCAGGAGGCACGCAAGTCACCATCCCGTTCGAAGGAATAACTGCTCTTCCGAACCATATAAAAAACAGATAGGAAGAACAGGACGACATTCAACAACTTACGGAAGGAATGAGCAGACTATGAATCAAAAACAAAATTAAAAAGAAGAAAATCGTGAAGTTGCAACAAAAACTTGAGGCTTCACAGAGGAAGATAGCGATCCTCAGATCATACAATGTGGAGCTAGAAGCCGGAAGGAAGCTCTAGATAAAACCTAACTTATCTTTTCAACCTTTTCATTTGATGTTCTTTTTAAATTTTATAACTATAGTATTTAACCATTAAAGTGTTTAAATTTTCACCATGGTAACTGTAAGAATCGAACAGCTTAATTTTCTAAAAAAAAGGGGTGAGTTGTAGTATTGAGAAATACTACACAGACAAAAGACCATTGTCTTAATTGTTTATTTAACGACCCAATTCTAAATTGGAGCGTGCCATTTAAATTAAAGCCTCTTTTCACTAAATCAGATATTGACTGATTTACTCTTATTAGGACTATAAAATCTTGTTTTGAAAATCCACTCCTTTTTAAATACTTGCCCAATTTTTCTCATTTTTTCATGCTCAATATTTTAAAAGGGCGGCGATTATTAATACGTCCCTTTTAACTTAACTTGAAACAAACTGGATAAATATTTAGCAGTCTTGCCGGCTGCACTAAAATTCTCCTTGCTTTGATTTAGCATAGATGCACCTGCAATATGATGCATCAGAGAAAGTAATATGAATTTTTAATCAGACAAACTGAAGGCTGCGGTTTTCTTCAAAGAGGACTAATAAGTTGAAGATATTTGATTTGAAAAAATCAAATAAAAACTAGTTGAAAATTCCCTTATTAGAAAGGGAGAACAAAGGAGCAGGTGAAACCTGAATAATTAAAGATTGAATCAGCCGCCGGTTTATGCTTATGAGCAAAAGGACTGGCCTGAAATCTTCAGTGTTTCATTTTGCTCAGTAAGCAGCAAGTCAGATCTCTTCAGTCAGATCTTTTCAAAATAAATAATTTTTCTTTTCTGCCTTTACAATAAAATTAAAGTAGCCTTTTTTCACAAATAAAATAGAGAATAAATTCTCATTTAAAGTTCGATAAAATTATAAATCGAGATACTCGAGAGACCCACACTTGAGGAAGTCTGGACTACAAGTACCCAAAGGACTACGGCAAAGACGATACTGACGACCAAACCAGAAGTGCTGACTTGGACAAAATCAAGGGCAACCACACATACTAATCAGCCACCGACCTTAGTAAGAAGATAAAATATTGATGAACAAAATAAGATTAGCTCAACCTCCCCTCATAGGTATATTTCTTTAAGCTGTTCGATTCATTTATATAATCTAAAAACCCAGTGCTTTGTATCTAACCAACTATTAATTCATACCTTTTCTAACTATTGTTTCTACTCTACTTTTTGTCAAGACAATTTGACGATCTAAGGTGAGACTTATAATTTAGGATAAAATTACTAAGCATTCAACCAGCAATGAGCGCTTAGTAAATAAGGAAAAAAACCTAGCTGTTGAGTCGATATCTGGGCTGAAATACAACAAACACTTTTTTTTCACTTCGAAAAAGAATGACATCGGCGCCTGTAAGACAAGCGCACACGAGTTGTCGCTCCTAATGACGATTTGAGAAAAACAAAGATGCTCTATTTTCCAAACTTTGTATTGAACCACTGAGTGGTTACCACTCCTCGTGAAAACATGTTTTTTCCCAAAAGATAGCAAAAATCTTTACAACTAAAAAATATATAACAGCTCTGCTTTTCACTATGTTATCATCATTGTGTCTTCAGGTGAGTGAAACAATCGTGAAGCCTGCCACTGCGTCCACGGGATGTGCGTATGTGGACCTATATGCCTCAGAGCGGGACGAGACCGGCCAACTTCTCGTATCAGAAGCCACATGTTTTGTTTCACACGCGTGGACATACGAACACGTGAGTTCATTTTTTGACGTGTCGTTTTTTGACATGGAATAAAAAGCGTGCTATACAAAACAGTGTTTTTTAATGTGTTTTATACAGCTCATGGAATCTAATTTAATTATAAGAACAATTACATCGGTCTCAGCAGTGGCTGCGAGGGCTGGTTAGGAAGGTCGTTTCTCCAAGTTGGGCGTAAAGTATGGAAAACTGAGAGCAAAAAGCCAAAAAACTGATTTTTTATGATTTCAATACAATTGATTTAATTTAATTGAATAAAGTTTTTCTAAACATTATTTTATCACCATGTTTTTGAAAAAAGAAAAAAAAACATAAATTTTTTTTTCAAACAAACGGTGTTTGCTTAAAAACTATCATTAAAACGTTTTTTTTACAGGGGCGGCTTTTGGTTTATATAATATTACGCTAGCAAAACTATATACGTCGGACAAAACGCTTGCTAGGAATAAAGGATCTTTTCTACTTTCTATCTTAGAAAGTAAATCTAAAATTCACTGAGAAATATTTTATTAGAAAAGAAGTTAGTATGAATTTACAGCAAGTTGCCTTTTGACTCAATATTTATTTTTTACGGTGAGATTGGAGATATTTTCTCTGAGATTGAATATTATTTTAGAGAAGGGTTGGGGTGGTTGAGGAGAGTGGTGGTGGTGGTAGAAGAGAAGTTGTTGGAATGAATTCTCGTAGTTTTGAGCTTCTATTTATACTGAAATGGGGAAATCACGCCACTTTTCGTATCAAATGAGAAGTTTCTTTTAACTTCGTATTCTTTATTCGTACATTCGTATTTTACGAGAAGAAGGTTTCGTATGCTCGTACTTTACGAGAGGAATCGTTATTATTCGTATTGAATGAGAATAGTCGTTTCAATTCTCAATGCTTAAAACGTTATACGAATTATTCCAATAGCATTTCCCTTCCTTTTGCAAGGGAATAAAAACATATTTCTTTGGTGGTGGCGGTGGCGTCACATTTTGTGAACGCAATAAAATAATTCATGTTTCTGTTTCTATTTGAAATCAGTGTGCCATTCTGCCAGATGACACAGCACAACCCTCCGGCGACGTGAAATTAAAAGACTAAAGGCCTTACGAACAAAAAAATGTTGCGAAGGAGGGTCAGAATGTTCTAGAATTTTTATTTTCAAAATTTCGATTAAAGAGTGAACATTTCTGAGAAATAGAGAAAAGACGGCCATTTTGACTGAAAAGTGACGAAAATCAGAACAACACCAAATATTGTGAAGAACAGTCGTACGAGAGACGGAAAATTACGAAGCCTCTTATCGTGGCAAAAACACACGATAAGAACCTTAGAGACGAATTTTAGTGGAGAAGGAGGCTTCAGTGGGGGGAAGAATTATACCACGGAACCCTCCCGGGACACGAAATATAAGAGATAAGAGCGTTATCTCAAGAAAATCACGGGAGCGGAGGCTTGGTCCCCCAGAGAGACTGTCTATGTGAAGGGACTGTATAAACTAACCATAACAGCTGCTGTAATGTCCTAGATCTTAATTAACACCAATATTATTTGATATTTCAGGACATGAGTAGATAGAAAAAGGAAAGGGTCAATCCATCTCAAATGGATTTAATATAGAACTGTCACACAAAAACATAATAAAATAGGTTGTTTGAGCCGTGTTTTTAATGACAATCACGTAGTCTGAGGATCCGAGACTCAGCTATGTGGTTGTGTTCGCATGTAAACGAAAGCTGATCAAAAGTCGTTTGACTGATGGCCTAAAAATAGTAACTTTTTACTTTGCCCTAGACAGACCAGAAAATCAACTGGCAAGGTCGAGACGGTGAAAAACGAGTAGAATTAAGGTAACTGACGCCTGCCAGTCGTTAATAGGTGCTTTTTCTACGCTCCGTCGCTGTGTGATATTTGGGCGAATGTTACATAGACGTTTTTATGGCGCTCCTGGGTGGGCCTGTTAAAGGCATGAAACCATCATGATCAGCAAGCGTTTCAGCGACGAACCCTCCGCTTCGGGCGTATGCCCGAGTTAGAGGCCTTAATGACCGTTATTGTACTAGGGGGAAGGTGCGTACCCTCCGCCTAGTGCAATTTAGCTTTTTAACTTAGTTAACACCGAAAATTCCGGGGGCCGGAGGGTTAGGTGGGAAGTCATGAGCCCGCTTGTCCCAAGGTCCCGGGACCAAAAACAATTAAAGAGAAAGCGTAAAACCAAACAAAAATAGTGTATAACCAAGAAAAAGCCAAAAATAAATTTATTTAAAAACAAAAAAGTACAAAAAATAGTAAAAAATCCAAAAAAGACCAAAAACAGTAAAAAACATAAAGTGAGTTTATATGTTATTTCCGGACGAGATGTGATCTGAGCTTCCTATTTGTTGTTGTTTCAGATTGATTTATATCGTTTCTGATAGAAAGATTGTGTGTTTTGGTGAAGGGTTGGATACCCTCCCTCGGGTGTAATTTGAGTGTTTAAGCACGTTAATGGTGATTTTGCCGGTGACCGGAGGGTAGAGTGGCAAGCTGACCGACGTGCTCCACACTCAACAGGGACATCAAGGGCAACATCTGCAACGACTGTTGGGTATCGTTGAAGCAATTTTAGTATCGTTGGAGTACTATTTCATTAAAACTTAAGTGGTGGGGGGCACGATTGGCGCGGTCCGATTGTACCCTCCATCGATTGCAAATTTCCGAGTTAAGGGTCTTAACTCGGGTATTTTGGTGCAAAGGAGGGTATAGTACTATTCATTAACGACTATTAATAGATTAATATCCTTATTATATATTACTTATCTCCTATCTAGACCCAAGAAACACGATTTCTAGACCCGATTTTCGACCAAACTGTAGACCCCCAAATTTTCGGATATCCGAGCTTTTCCGATAGGCAAAAAGCTTTTATATAGAGAGCAGCTACGTAGTTCGATCCCCCTAACTAAAGAAACCGCGTGAGAAAAGACTCAGTAGAAGTAAGAAAAACGGAAAATTTTTGATCAAAATTTTGATAATTTTCTGTATTTTGTCAATCTGTTTTGGGGATCGAGTTTTTGAGTTTTTAGAGTTAGAGCAATAAAATTTTTTGCGTTAGGAGCGTGCTAGCATAACGTGCTCGGTTACTAGAGAAATTTTTGGGTAACCCTCCGAGTAGCTCCGTGGATAGAGCTAACGACTTAAGGTTTGGAAAAGGAAGGAATCGGAGGGTCCAAATTTGATAGTTTTTGGCCAAATTTTTGTTTCTAAACCAATTTTGATCCGGTTTTTTGCATAATTCCAGTGCCGTACAGGGCTACTACGCTCATTTCAAGTATTTTTAGGCACTTTCGACCGGAATTGCGGAAAAAGTCTTTCAGAACCTATATAGGTGGTGAAAAAAGGCCATTTTGACGAACGCGTTTTTGGCGATTTCTCGAAGACTAGTTATCCGATCGGGATAACTTTGGTACCATAAGTCGACGTTTTTGACCACTTTTCCGAATCGCAACCGTTTTTGGGTTGATTATTTCGGAAAAGAAAAATTTTTCAGAATTTGTTGGTTCGGAGGGTCCAAATCAAGAGGAACCCTCCGAGCGGTATAAAATTTTAATAAAATCACCTTTTATCCTACTGGGAAGGTTGTTTCTAAACCAATTTTGATCCGGTTTTTTGCATAATTCCAGTGCCGTACAGGGCTACTACGCTCATTTCAAGTATTTTTAGGCACTTTCGACCGGAATTGCGGAAAAAGTCTTTCAGAACCTATATAGGTGGTGAAAAAAGGCCATTTTGACGAACGCGTTTTTGGCGATTTCTCGAAGACTAGTTATCCGATCGGGATAATTTTGGTACCATAAGTCGAAGTTTTTGACCACTTTTCCGAATCGCAACCGTTTTTGGGTTGATTATTTCGGAAAAGAAAAATTTTTCAGAATTTGTTGGTTCGGAGGGTCCAAATCAAGAGGAACCCTCCGAGCGGTATAAAATTTTAATAAAATCACCTTTTATCCTACTGGGAAGGTTGACCGAGTCAGCCAACCTAGTTTTAAGCCAGGTAGACCGCTCTCAGAGGCTTTACTACGGTGGCATAACCTTTTTTCTCGATTTTTGGGGAACCCTCCGAAGTAACCCTCCGGAGTCAGCTAAACCCCTTAGCAACCCTCCTTAGTGGAAAATTTCCACGAGATCACCCAAAGAAGTTAAAACAGCTCCCCTTAGAGCTTTTAGCTTGTTTTGACGCTTTTTGAAGCTAGTGGGAGAACCTTCTAAGCGAGATCAAAAATTTTGAAAATTTTGGAGGTACCCTCCGAAGTAACCCTCCGGAGCATATTGAGCATCTTATTGACCCTCCTTAGTAAATTTAGGGGGGACCCTCCAAAGTAACTTGGGTGATTAAGATACCCTCCGAAGTGACTTGGGTGATCAAGATACCCTCCGAGGTAACCCTCCGGAGTGTCTTAAACCTTCTGACGATCTTCCTTGTTAGAGAATTGAATAAACCTTCTGTGGCAATTTGGGAAACGGAAAATATCCATTTAATTAGGATCATATTAGGATATTAGGCGTGCTTATCAGTATCATAGGAACCCATTTTGACCCGGAAATTTGTGATCAACTTTGGATTCTACATTGGGTGTATCAGGAGTACCCGAACAAGAAATTTTTTTTTGATTGTGATTTTGGTCGTGTGGTTGCCTTGAGCTACTTAATAGAAAAGTTCGGGCAATCCGGGAACAAATAAAAGAAGACCTCGGTGGGTGTATTAGGCAAATACACACCCACTTGAGAAGAAAAATTGTTCCCTACTCTCGTGCACTTGGAGCAGTCCGAGTGTGGGAGAGCTTTTTCATAGACTTTACGAATTTTCGATCAGAGGTTGCCTTGAGCTACTTGGTAGGACAGCTCGGGCAATCGCAGGGCACCTAAAAGAAGACCTCGGTGGGTGTATTAGACAAATACACACCCACTTGAGAAGACCGTGTCCTGGGCTTCGTTCTTTCGGATCGTTCCGATTGGGGGAAGTCTTTTTCTTT